ACTAAAAAAAAAACCTTCCATAAATTTGAAAACCAATTCCATGGCCTGCCTAGATGGCTCAGCAGATAAAGGTGCCACTTGCCAAGTCTCATGACCTTTGTCAACCCCCAGAACCCACAAAGTGGAAGGAGAGAATTTCACAAGCTGTTCTCTGACTTCCACCTGTACAATGCGGCCAGTGTGCCTCCTCCTGAGAGACACACATACAGGCACACACACAGAGGCACAGGCACAGGCACACACACACACACACACACACACACACACACACACACACCACAAAGTAATACGATGTAATAAAAAATTTTTAAATCCCAAGTTCATCCATAGGCTTTCTCTACCATAATGTAAGTTCTCTGGTTCCTTCTAACCTTTTTTTTTTCCCCACTCAGTTTTTTTCTAATAGAAGATGCTTGACTCTCCTCTGTTTCCTCCTCGTATTAATTAATTAATTTTATTTCACCTGTATTAATATTTTTACTATATATATATATATACACAGTTTGTGCCTGGTGCCTCAGAGGTCAGAAGAGGGCATTGGATCCCCTGGATCACATGGTTGCAAACCTCCATGTGGGTATTGAGACTTGAACCCAGGTCCTCTACAAGACAAACATGTGCTACTAACCACCGAGCCAACTCTACAGCCCCCCTTCCCCCCACACCCCTGTAATCAGGGATTGTCTCTCATGCCAAAAGTCTGCAGGCAGGGTGGCTTCTGTCCCCGTGTGCCGTCAAGATTCCCCTGTGGTCTTTAGTAGGGGTAGCTCCGTTGTGCCGCAAGATGTCTGCCATAGTTCCAGATACCCCATGCAATATCATAATAATGGGTTTCTTTATGTGAGTCTTTCTGCAGTATCAGGAAAACCTTTTTGCCAGAGGTTTATTTAGTACCTTACTGGCTGGGAATGGGCCACAAACCTGGAAAATAATCGCCAAGGTTGGCTAGACCAATCACCCATTGTGTCCCTATGTCCTTTTCCTTAACGGGAAGTAATCCTAAGCACATGCTCTGACTAAAATGAGGACTCCACATGAAGTGAGGAGGGACGATGGTGGCTGTTGGGCAGGCAGGCAGAAGTGTTTGCCATAAGTAAGCCAAAACAAGACCAGATCATTCTGAGCACAGTCCAATGTATTAGCAGTAACACAGCAAATTGGTAACTACTGACAGCCCACAAAATGTCAGGAGGTGCGAGGACTTGTTGGTACATAGAGATGAAGAAGATTTGTCCCTTGGCCCACGGAGCTATCAGCTGTGTTAGGGGAAAGACCCATATAATGTCAAATTGGGTGATAAGAAGAGGTATGTCACAGTGCTTTGCAAACAAAGTCAGAACCTCCTAGCTCAATAGACGGACTATGACTCCTCGGGACAGGCCAACTGGACTGGTCATGAATTCTAGGAGGAAGTTAGGGTAGGCACCCAAGGCTTGGGAGGAACCTTGAAGCATGCTCCTTTCGATTTTCAGATCTTTGTATGGTATCCTATGTTTTATTGTTATGGCTCATCTGAAGTTAATGAAACAGAAAGCCCTTTCAAGCCTTGAGGGTCACTTCCCATGAGTTCATTTGTTCATGTTTTGTGTCTGGATAAAATCCATTTTATGATCAGTGAATTCCATATTTAAACAAGGAGGCCACTCATCGAGTGGGGAAATGTCTGCCGGAGACAATGAATGCCGTTCTGATTGTCATGATGTCATCGGCTCTGTGAGGGGCTTGTTTTTAAGGCATTAGGAGACAACAGCAGTGATTTAGACGGAGGATGAAGTCGCGAGGGTGAGTGAAGGTCTTAAAAGAGGCAGTTTTTATGAGTTTCACTTTTGTGTGCCAAAGACAGGAGAGAGAGAGTTGCTTATGGGGACTGGCTGATTGAGAACGATTTTCTTAGTGTGTTTACTCTCTCTCTCTCTAAAAGTGTTCCTCAGAAGAGACCCAGAAAACAAGCTGTTCTACTCTCCTTTCCACAAGGGAACTTCAGTGGACACCTGAAACTGTTGGTAATACCCAACCCCCCACATCTACTCTGTGCTTCTTGGCTGTGACAACATTTAGTTTATAAACTGGGCACAGTAAGAGACTGGTAATAGTTTACCATGGCTCTTGGTGACTTCGGCATATGACTTCTTCCTTATTGAGAACGCCACCTTTTCACTTAAAGGGAGTACTTCATAGCTTCTCACTAGCATACCTACACCCCCAGCATCACTACACATTGGAGGCAGTCATTAAGTAAAACAAGAGATACTTAACAATGAGACTTCACTATGACAATGAGAGGACTCCTATCTTAGATGGTCCCCAGAAGCTGTGTTGAGGGCGTGGTCTCAATCCAGCAGTGTTCAGAGGGGAAGCCTGCTGGGAAATGGTTGGAGAATGAGGATTCTGACCTTATTTATAGATGTATTGCTTAGTGAGCCCCAAAGAGATGATGGAAACTTAGAGATGGAGCCAATTGGGGAGTAAGTAATGGGGGTGTGCCTGTCAACAGGGAATTTTGTTCCTATCCCCTTCTTCCCCCCGCCCCATTCTTTAAAATCTCAAGACATAGTGCATAGAGCCAAGCACAGAGCAGAACATACCTTACCCGTGTGCACACATATGGAGACACACACAAGTCATCGTGCCTTCTAGAAGGACCTCAGAAGCTGTTACAGTAGTTATGATGCTTGCTTGCCTTTGGAGCAAAGGACTAACAGGTCAAGGACAGAAGGCTGACTTTGTATTGATAACCTCTCTCCGTGGTTTGAGTCTGTGAAAGAGATGTTTTATTTTAAAACATGGTTTTTAAAAAAAACATAGGTTCCTTCTTCGTGGTTTGATGTGAGAAACTATTACCTGCACCATCACAAGAGAAAGAGCAGGTGAGGATGTAGAATGCGGTGGCAGTCATAATGCTAATGACTTAGAAAAGGGTGTGTGGGGATGGCTCAGAGAAGTGCCTGTCGCCTAGGCTGAGGATCTGAATTCAGTCCTCTGTGGGATCTCTCCGTAGAGTGAGAAAACTGACTTCTGAAGGTTGTTCACTGACATTCCCAAGCACACTGTGGCATGCGCCCCCACCCTCCCACACACACATAAATAATTAAAAATAATAAAAACATGTTTTTAAAGCATGGAAGAAAACTCAGCTGACCCAACAATGTGGCCATCCTCTAGGCAGAAGTGGCATATTGAAACTGTAGAATCTTCCATTTTCTCAGCATTGTTTAATTTTGTGCAATGGAAGTGAATGGTCAAAAAAGAAAACAAACTTTTTCAAACTGGAAAGAGAAGTGGGAGGGGGAAAAAATCCAGTCCTGCTATTCCCTTTTGCAGGAATCCTTCTGTGTAGTCTATGCGAAAACAAGAGTTTGGCTCCATCTCTCACCTGGCTCCTCTAAGCCTCCCCTCACCTATTTCCCTTTTAAATCCCACCTGCACTGAAGCCTTTGTAGTCAGCCACAAGGTGAGATGGGTGAGAAATCTCACCTCCGATCCAACTTATCTGCCCTAGTCTGACCCAACGAGAAAAACTGGAAATAAAAATCCCAAACAGAATGTTCAAACACGATTCTGAAAACTAGCCTAACCTGTAAATGAAATCATGCTTTACTACATACACCTGGGATTGGTGCTAAGCGCCAGCAGCCAGCTAAAGGAAAAGGAGCTTGGCCAAGGACCTCGGCCCTGTCCTCCCAGAGACCTCTTGTGGAGTTTCCATCCCCTTTGATCCTCCTTGTTTTCCTCATCTGCTGTCATGTCTGGTGCCCTCACTGGGGAGGCTACAAGCTGTGGGGCAGAGTGCTATGGAGATGGAGGATGATTAACCAATCTGTAAGCCCTGGAGGGAAAGGCTCAGATCATGGGTTTGTTATGAATATTGCCTAGAAAATTAGGAGAACCCCAGATGTTCATTAACCCTAATATGTTCTGATATTATTTGGAAAATACTATGGCAACCCAGCCCCAGCAATGGCTCTTTTCATCTCAGGATTTCAAAAGCACTTAAATATCACTTTAAGTGTTACATGTGACTGTACAATAATGGGTGTGAGTTACTCTTGGGCAACCAATGGGATGTATGTTGACTTCTTTTCCAGCAGCTCCCCCAACTTTCTTCAATAGTGGGGAGGGGGGGCATTGTAGTCCAGTGGTAGAGTGTTTGCCTAGCATGCATAAGGCCCTAGGTTCAATCCCCAACCCCACAAAAAGTGAGGGAGAGGAAATTTGTGTTACAGGTATGAGACAGCATCACATAACAAAATAAAAGGCAGCTCAAATGTGTCCCAGTGCTAAATGAGATCTCTGGCAAGAAAAATCCCAGTTTAAAGTACAAATCACATTTCTACTTTGTTCAGGGAAACTGGGGAGGCGAGAAGCAGAAGCTGCAAAACACCAGGCTACTGTTTGTCCCACTGAGCAGCTCTCCGCCATTTGCTGGAATACCATCAGTAATACAGTCACAGAACATCCCGCAGGCAGACCCGCAAACCAGAGATGTCTGTCTCGGGACACTGAAAAAAAGAAGCTCCAGGCGGACCTGCCGTGACTGGCTGAATTGTGTCTCCCCCAAAAGATACGTTAAGTTCTTAGACCCATACCTCAGCTAGGATTTTACTTGAAAATAAGGTCTTGACAGACGACATGACCAAGTTAAAATGAGGTATTTAGGGTGGGTCTTAATTCAATCTGCCTGGGGAGTTTTATGAGAGGGGAATGTTGGACGTAGAGACAGACACACGGAGGGGGAAAGACTCAGGGAGGAGGCCCTGTGGAGATGGGAACCAGATCAGAGCATCTCTAAGCCAGGAAAGCCTGAGGCAAGCAGGAGCTGGAGAGGCTGGGTGGAAACAGGCCTTTCTGTAGCCTTTGGAGGGCGCACAGCTTGATGCACCTCCCCTGTAGACTACACTCTTTTTTTTTTTTTTTTTTTTTTATTAAATAAGTATGCACCCTGTTTGTGATACTTTGTTACGGGAGCTGTAGGCCATTAATGAGCTGAAGTCTAGCAACGGTCAGAAAATATAGTAGGAGTAAACCTCTGTTTATTCTAGTGTGTGACCTTTACATGATAAAATAATAAGAGTTCATGGCGTCTTCTTTGTTCCAGAGATTTTGTTTGCTTTGCTTTTTTCTTTCTCTTTCTTCTTCTTTTTGTTCTCCAGAGAACACAGGGCCTGTTGGTGGTTGGTTGCCTTTCCATAGAAAGTGGAGAGCCAGTTAAATCCTTCAGTCTGTGGTTAAGGCAGAGGCCAGGTGACAGCCCTGGTAAAACAGGCACATGGTTGTGCCAGAGATAAATATAATGCCCTCTACCTACAGGACTCCTGTTCTCACCAGCTGGTGATTTGGGAAAAAAAAAAAAAATGACAGGCTCATCAGCCGGGCTGCTCAGTCCAGAGTCCCGGGGCCAGGATGAACTAGGAGTCAATGGCTGCCTTCACCAACAAACCGAACTGGCAAGACCCAAGCCGGCCCCATCCAGCCATGATTTTTGCTGTTGCGTTTATTTATTTATTTGGCCAGGATATATAAACAAAATCTGTAGATATTGTTAAGAAGGACCAAGAGTGCCCCTACACTCATGGTAATGATCCCCAGGGAGAAGCCAGAAGCTGACCTGGAAGCCCCTTGCCAGGAAGGACTTCCTGCTGCCTGGGGGTGGAAGCGGGCGTGGGGGGTAGGGGGGGGTGCACAGCCCTCACAGCCCCGACCTCAATGTCTGCTGAATGAGACAAAGGCCTGGGGCCCGGGCCTTTGTCGTCCTTCTTTCCACAGATCCTGAAACCCAGCTCTGCTCCCTTTGTCTGAAGAGGAGCCCAGGCCAGGCAGAACTGGAGGGGAGCTGATACCATGAAGGGGCCGCCACGACTGTTGCAAATAACTGCGGGTGGTTTCCCTGGTTTTTACCTCGTCCTCCGGGGAGTCTTCGTTTGTCAAAACAGACGCATGTGTGAAGAGAACCTGCTTATTGTTATTTTGAAGAATTTGAACAGCTAAGGTGTTTTCCCTGAGACTCCGGTTCAAAATCAACAACAAATGGGCAGCCCTCCTGAAAACGGAGAAATGGGGTCAGCTCTCTGGTTCCGTCTTCCGCAGCAACATGGACAGCGCCCCTCATTCCCCGCTGCCCCCCAATAATGCTTCAGAAGCTGTCCACCCCACAGTCCTCTCCCCGCTGCCCCAGGGGTGGGGAGGGCCCGGCAGAAAGGTCCCAGTGTTTGGTGTCTCACTGTGACTGAGAGCAGCATGTTCACCGGCTTTTAAAAACTTAGAATGGGGTCCCCCACCTCCAACCCCTGCCCCACCAAGGGTGAGAGAGAAAGGAGCGAAGTGTCCACGTTGTTAATTGTCACCGATTTTTTTTCTTTTCCTCTCTGGCACAATCGGAGTTGGAGCGAGGTGGGTCTAAAGGGCCCGAGGTGGTTATAAATATACTTGGAAGTCGTTTTAAAATGAACACTGCCAAGGGCGAGGCCTAGGTAAGAGCCAAGCCATGGGCAGCAGCGGGAAGTTTACTGGGAGGTGCCCGGCACCCTTCCACCCTGCATAGCAGTGGGGGTGATCAGGAGAAGCAGCAGGTACACCTCCCTCCCTGTGGCCTGACTCAAGCAAGAGGAAGCTGACCCGGAGGCCCCATGCTTTAATGGTGCCTGCTTTTTTTAAGAGACTTCTGAGCAATGCTGACTGGGTGACTTTTAAAGACCAGTGTCGCTGGGCCCTCACCTTTATTTCCTCCTTCTTCCTTCCCTTTGTGTGGCTCCCTTCCTTGCTCCGGTGGAGGCCCTCTGTGGCGCAGGGGATGGGGAAGTCATTGGCCTAAGTGGGTGTCCCTTCCAGGGCAACTGGCCACCTCCATCCTTCCAGCATGGTCCCGCCTCTGTGTCTTCAGCAGGCTCCGGCGGCGGGAGAGGATGTGTGGTCAAAGGGCATCGAGATGGGAACGGGAGGAGAGGAAATAAGGGGCCAGAGATAAAGAAATGCGAGCCAAGGAGGAGAGAATAAATAGAATCAGAGGATGAAGAGCACCAGGTATGCAGCAGACAAGGAAGAGGCAGAAAAAGGAGCAAGACAGAGACCAGGCACTTGTCTTACCGAAAGAAACAATTCAAAAAGATAGGAAAATGTTGAGAAACCCCCAAACAAACTCAAGCTCGTGCGGGAAAGCCAAGGACCAACTGGACGTAAGAAACAGAACGCTTTAGACAGGAAGGAGTCTAAATGAGAAACGCCAGCGAGGAAGGAGAACAGAGGGGCCTTTGTGACCAGTTTGTAGATTACAGAGAAACGGCAGAACAGAGAGAAGCCGCGAGTGTTTACTCCTTGCACTTGACCAACAAAACAGTCATTATTTTTTAATCATGGAGGACACGTGGAGCGTACTAAGCCTTTTCGTTCTCTCCGTCTCTCTCTCTCTCTCTCTACCTTCTTCGCATCCCTTAGGACTTTTTAAAAGCATAAGGAAACGCACAACCAGGAAAACCAAACCTACATCTACGTTATTTTTGTAGAAGGTTTATCTTGTGGAGAAGCCGTGTCGTCCTTAGGGTTCAGGCTGGGTTACCTGTCCCCAATGGCAGTTGAGCTCCGGCTTCCTATTCCCCAGAAACCCCATCGAGACCTCATGGAGGTCTATCGCTCCCTTAAACATGGGCATTAAAAAAGGAAATAGTTATTTGTATGACTCACACTTCAGAAGCCTGCCTTACCATTAATAAGTTAGAGGTTGCCTTGTAAGTTTAAATAATTTAACAAATGGAGTAATAAAAAAATGTAAGTAAAGCGTAAACGGGTAAATATCACACATACCCACGAGAAGCAGGGATTAGTTATCTTATTACTGCAAATTGCTGTTACTAAACATTATGATAAACTACCAAAAAGATGCCTCGCTGCCCCTTTCTGTAATTTTAAGTTATTAATATTATTCACACACGGGTATGTCTCCTTATATTGCCTCTCTTGCCCTGTCTCCCTAATGAGGAAATGGAGGGGGGGGACACAGCAGATAAATGTACCAACCATGACTGAAGCAAATGAAAAAAAGATATCAGAAACAAATAACATTACCAGCTTTTAGTTCCATAATAAGCTCTTATTTATTTAGACACTATTAATTTGGAATTTATAATAACTTGATTGGGATCTGGGCAGGAATTTTCCTTCATTTAGCAAACGCTGTCTGGCTAAAAAGCGCAGAAGAATAATGTAAATGAGATTATAAGGGGAATGCTTGAAATACATCTTGGAGCACTTCAGGCAACCCCTTCTATATGAATAATTAATATAAGAATACATATTATTCTTATCCAGTAATTATCTGGTAATTCAGCAGGAATTTGTTAGGTCACCCTGCAGAGTAAGGCTTGCCATGAAATAGCTCTATGACCATCGGCAATGCTCTTAACTTTATCAGCCCTTATTTTTCTTACCTGTAAGAATAGATTGATAATACCAATTCTGCGTAGTTTGAGGGCTTGTAACAGGCACGAAATAAAAGAGTGGGTGGGAAGCCATTTTGAAATCTACACATAAGGTAGCAGGGGAAGAAGCCCTATCATATTATGAGCCTAAATTACATACTTTCCAGCCAGGTGTGACTGTAATGCTCATATAACTCCAGCACTTGGGAGACTGGGACAAGATGATCGAGGCCAACGTCAACCCTGTTTCAACAACAATGACACAGAAATGAAATTTCATACTTTCAATTAATTCAACATGACCTTTCTTCCAGTAGTCTATGCTTCACACAGTTTCAGGGAAAGAAAACTCCCTCATGAATTGGGTATGTATGTGTGTGTGTCCCAACAGATTGGTATGTATGTGTGTGTGTGTGTGTGTGTGTGTGTGTGTGTGTGTGTGTGTGTCAAGAGATTCTCGAAGTCATTATTTGTGTTCTAGGTATATAAAATACATTTGAGATGGTACAAAATTGAAAAAAGTTACTGTGCACAGATGAAAGAGTCCAATGCTGGAGTCTAATGGTTTGGGTTCAAATTCATGAGCCTCCACACAGATTTTTTTTTTTTAGCTAGATCATTTATATCTGAGCTCATTTCTTTATAAAAATTGTGAATTTCATAAGAGTTTTTAAATATGAAGACTAAAAGAGAAAATGCACAGAGCACAATGCCTAGCTCAGGGTGGTAGATGTGACTCTGGGCATGCAGAGTGATAGGGTGATAGACAGAGTGGGCATATCAAAGTGATGATTACCAACAAGAAAAGATAAATTATTTTGAAATGATATATGCATTAGAAAAATATCATGGCTTCTCACCTCAAGTATTCCATTACAACTTGGCTCTCAAAATATAAAGCCAAATAGAGAGAAGAGGCATTTTACACACACCAGCCTATGCTGCTGTGGGTGAAATATATGTTGCAAAGAATAATAATAACAACATTCCATCCATTCAAGGACACCTGCTTTTCACATTTGAATGTTGTGGAAACCAAAAGGAACTTAACTGCTACACATGTGCTGATCAGACAGAGGGCTACTTAAGAGAGACTGTCATTTGCTACAGTGGGTGAATTTTGCCAAAGTTTTCAGAATAAAGGATTTTCAAGGGCTAGAGAGAGAGAGAGAGAGCCCTGTGGGTATGGCTTCCTTGGCATAGGCAGAGGATTCGAGTTTGGATCTCCAGCACACACATTAAAAGGTGGGCACAGTAGAATGCCTCTGCAATCCAGCATTGGGGAGAGAGACAAGTGGATTCCTGGGGTCTGCCGCCCACAGAATCAGCGTGGTGAGCTTCAGTTCAGTGAGACACCTTGTCTCAGAAAATGAGGTGGAGAGTAACTGGGGAAGACACCAAATGCCATCCTCTGGTATCTACATGCTCAAGTCCTCGAGTACCCACACACCACACACACACACACACACACACACACACACACACACACACATCTATATGTGCACACACAGAGACATACACACTTCTACATGTACACACATACACTTGTACATGTACATACATCTACATGTACATACACACTGTATACACACATCGCACACACATTGTGTATACACGTATTGTACACACATTGTCAAACGCTACGGATATATATTGTACACATACATTCTATACACATGAGCATACACAGTGTACACACTGTGTACATGCACATTGTACACACACATGCACACACATATACAAAGGATCAGTGGAGCTGCTTACAATAGGTAATTGACCAAGGTGGAGGGGGATTAAGATTCCAAATGAGGAGTGCTGGACACTCCAAACACAAGAGCTGTTACAGAGTGTCATTCTGCTTGAGGACACAGACTCCTCAGAGTGGGTTCAGATAGTGAATAACAGCATGAGTGGCATGCACGCTGTTTAGGGGCAAAACGTGTGTACCTTTTTATCCTGTGAGTAAAGCTATCTTTTAATTAGACAAACGAGCCTCCTTCCCTTTGACTGACAGACTCCTCAGAGAAGGCATCTTGTCCTTCGAATTACTCAGAAACAAAGTTAAATATAAATGCATGCGTAAGACGTCTGTACTTGGTGATAATATGTTCCATTTTAACACAGCATTTAAAAATTATGAATTTGTGTACCTGTAAATTTAGCTTAAAGAATTGAATGTACATGTCAAAATATAACCAGTTACAGATTTCACACTACTGAATGAAAACACTGACAGAAATACCTTCTTGACATATCCTGGGCACTGTACACCTGATGTTTAATGATAACAACGGCAATTATTGAGCACTCACGATGCGCTACTTATCTGCTAGGGATACACCAAGCAGCTCCTTTGATTTTAAAAGACTCAATATGGCATTGCTATCCCCCAACCCTACAACATTTATTATTATTATTATTATTATTATTTACAATGTGGAAGCACAGATAAGACACATATCAATTAATTACGAACATGAAGTCATGCATCTGGGAAGTCATTGGAATTAAGTTAGGATCCAGACAGTTTAACCCCAGAGTCTTCACAGACCTCCTCTAAAGCAGCACCTATTAGGTTTGTATTTTCCTTGCTTCAGAGATGAACTCCGAAACTCAGAAAGATGGAGTGGTTGGACCATGTCGCACGGTTTGTAAGCGGCAGAGCCAGGATTCCTCACGGGGCCTGCATCCAAACCAGCTACACGCTTTTTCCTTAAGACGTGACTTGGGTGGGACCACACAGCAGCAAAAACCGAGAGTACCAGGGGTACAAATGGGGACAACTGAGGAGGGGAGAGGGAGGGGACTCTGGAACGTGTCAGCTACTGGAGGACTGACAGTGACCTTCAACCCGGGCCAGCCAGAAACGGGGAATTTTCCACCCGCAGTCACCTCTTTCAGCTGTTATGATTGTGAGCGCAGTTCCCAGAGACATTGAATGCACACTGCCTGACATATTGTGACATAAATTCTCTCTAGCTTGGATGTGCATTTTTTTTCCCTTCCTCTTTTCATTTCTGGCTGGCCTCGACACACACCTACCCTCCTTAAAGAATGAAACACACACAACAGCAGCAGCAGCAACAACTACTAGTACTACCATTGCACACACGTACACGAAGACTTTTAGGAAGCATGTTCCTCAACCTGAAATATGATAGGCCATCAGTCTTGGGTGGGGCGGGGGATGGAGGTGTGTCCTTATCCATGCCTGAATGGTTAGGTCTATTTTCCTTTTCCATGTGTTTTGTTACTTATAAATTAATGTGATTCATTCTGGATTCCAACTATACAAATTATATATATATATATATATATATAATATGCTCCTTTCAAAAATCACTTGGAGTCATTTCAATGGCTGCACTTTT